TAAATTTTTTTGGAACAACACCCCCACTAGTTTTAGCCACGAGCCGCCACTGTTCTCACTGAAAGGTTTAAACATAATAACTAACAGTTACTTACAAGAGGATAAATAGACTCGCCACTCACTCCACAACTAAAGAGCTTACTTCATTTTTTTAAAAGGTATAAGAAAATATATTACCGAATAAATATATATCCCAGTCAGTTTATAGTTTTGAAACAGCACAGTTTTTCCAAAAGGTCTTAGTAAAGAATATTAAAAGCACTGAAAGAAATTCACTTTCAAAATTTTAAAATACAGAATTAGTGCATAAATAACTATTAAAAGTTTCATAAATTTAAATTGACTGTCATTCCTATTTTTCTTATACAAATCAAATATTATATATATCAAAACACAAATTTACAGTATAAGAACATTTTTCATTAATTCAAAAAATTAACTGAACAAAAAATTCAAAATTGCTTTTTTCAACTCACTAGGAATATCTGCGATGTGCAAAGAAGATGAGTTTCGAGTTGTTTCACGTGGAAGCGAACGGGAATGTTGTTTCTTAGAAGTTGGCTTCCGTGTTTCAGAAGTTGACCGAGAATTAGCCATCTGTGGAAAAGGCGAATTGGTGGAATGTAGAGGAACTATGGGTGGAAGTCCAGCCTATGTAAAAAGAGTGAAAAGTAATTTTAGAATTTGATTTCTGTGAATGCTTAAAATTTATAACAGACAGTCACTTTTTAAGGTGGAAAAATGTTATCCCTCTTTTGCCAATCAGAAAGTGAATCTTTTTAAAACCATCTATCACACAGATCAGTGTTTCTCAATCTGTAATCTTCCAAATTCCAAAAAAAAAAAAAAAAAAAAAAAAAAAAAAAGGCAAAACATAAAAATAATGCTCTACACACTAACGAAATCGTAGGTTTTGTGAATTACAAATGGTACTTGTGTATATAATTTTCCACATTCGTCTCATCACTTTAAAAATTGAGTTCCTTAAATAATAATAATAATAATAATAATAATTTACAAAATCTATTACCGGTTCTTTACCTATGGACATCTCCCTCTAGTTTTAGCAACAAAAGGCATTTAAAGCACTATGACTGTGGTGCTTCTTACCACCACAAATCCAAACATAACATAGTTAAGCAAGAACAGGCAGACTTACCCATCTCAATACTGTATTTACTTAACTTTTGGTTAATATGATACAGGTTATCCAAACCCTTATGGCCTTCATTTATTAAAAAGAATATAAATTTTCTATTAAGTTAATACCAACACAAAATTAAATATATTTTAATTACATTTCAAAAATACAAGTCTACTAGTAGTACAATATACTAATATATAGATTTCCAAAGGATCCACAGTAAGGTGGTTCACAGAATATTCTAATTTATAAAAGTGAATCCCACTTGAACACAGTTTGGTAACTTTGTTCAACTACTTGAACAAAGCTCACATAAACAACTACCATTACATTTTTTGGAATCTGTTTTGCAAAATGCATGGAAGATGGTAGGGTAGCACAGAAGTGAAGTTCACCATGTGGATACATTAATTTTTCAGATATTTTGGCAATCATTTCAAAAACATTTGATTAAAAATGCTTCACTCTGGTGCATTGTCTTCAACCCTTTGTGGTAGTTAATGCGACACTGCTATATTACATTATTTTATTTGAGAACATTGTATTTTTTAGACTTTATTTCAACTTCTTTTAATTTACTTGTATATCATCATGTTATTTAAAAAAAAAATTCTCTAATTTTTTTGTAGTGATCCAATATTAACTTAAAAAACGAACAATCACACTTAGGCAAATATGGCTAAATGTTGCTTTGTTCTTCATCATCAGATTTTAAAAGTTACTAGATAGATTATGATCTGCAGCAGTACCGAAGCCATTTATATTGTATGCAGCATTTAAAAGGTTATTTTATGAGGGTTGGAACTTTAATAGTGGCAACTATTTATTTACAAGGAATATAAAAGTGATTCATGTCACCATGTTTTACAGTCCTTCAATATAGTGCCAGCATGGTACAACCCGTTTCAACGATTGTGGAAGTCGCAGAATACCTGCAGCAGCACCTGTTTTGTGATAGTTTAATGGACTGGTTCTACTGCCGCAAGAATCTCAGGAACAGTTTGGAAGCGAGTGCACGAAGTGGTTCCTCACTTAGGAATAAGTATAGTCACAAGGGCCTTAGATGGGGAGTATGGTGGATGTAAAGCACTTCCCAGCCCCATCACTTGAACAAATCATCAAGCTGCGCTGCATGGCCGAGCATTGTCATGCAAAAAATGAGAGGAGCGTTCTGCAGAAAGTGTCGCGTTTTTTTCTGGTCGGAGATTGTGCTCCAAAAATGAGCAGTAATACCGCAGTGATGGTCTGCTGTGGGGGAACGGTAATATTAGGATGACACCATCACAGTCACACGAGAATCACCATAACTTTCACATTGCTGGGGTTCTGACGAAATTTCGAACTTGTGGTGACCCGTGATGACGTCATCGTTTTGTTGCGTTTCAGTCTGGTGGTACGATCGGGCCAAGTCTCATCCAGCGTAAGATACGGAATAAAAAAGAATCCCCTTCGCTCATAGCGCTCCAGGTGGGTTTGGGCAGCATGTATCGTAGCCATTTCTGCATTTCGTCAATTGATGTGGAACCCATAGCGAAGCAATTTTTCTCAAGGACAAGTTTCCTCAGAATTGCAGCACAGTCGTATGCGCTAACTTGCTGTCCGCCAGCTGAATTTGGCGGCAATACTGTCATTAGTGCGGCAACAGCTTGCACGTCTGCATCGATGACACTCGGACGACCTGGCCGCAGCATGTCTGCCACGTTTTGGCGTCCTTCATTGAATGCTTTCACCCATCCTGTTACAGTTCTGTAAGGCAATGCAGATTCCCCGCAAGCCTATTGAAGCCCTTGATGACATTGTCGTGCTGTACCACCTCTGGCACATTCAATTTTTATCCAACATCGTTGTTCTTGTTTTGAAAACATCCTGACAACACTTACTTTAGACTGCGAGCTAATATAAGGATCCGTTCTTCGCGTCACTCCGCATGTGCATGATGTAGGCAGGACAAGTCTTTTTGCTGAGAGTTAAGGTAGGTATGTAGTCCACGTGTATTATACGCGATATTCTTTGGTTTTGTTGCGTAGCGTTTTTTCAGCTGTATTGCAACTATTTCCCACATTTAAGTTCCAACCCTCGTATTATTAAAAAGTTTAATTTTTCTATGTAATATAACTTATTCTTAAAACTGTCAGAATACATTTTTACCTCAACAGGCTCAGATCCCATAGCATGAATAGTGTTACTATCTTCAGATTCAGATCTCCGAGTTAACGAGACTTGACATGAGCTATCAATCCACTGGTCAACACGAGCTTGTTGAGTGGAGGCCCATGATGATGATTTCTTATTACCTTCCACTGTAGAGGGGGAAGAATTAAAGGACGGCTCATTATTATTAATGTAATTGGCACGTTGATTGGCGCTTGTTATGGAAGTAAGAGGAGGTGCATCATCTGAAGAACCTTGATCCTCCCAACTACCTCTGGAAGAGTCCTAGCAGAATTTTTAAGACAAATATAGTTAAGTTGCAAAATCATTTTAAAATGTAAGCATAAAAGAACTCATTATCAGTACTGTTAAAAACTGTTTTAGGCACATAAAGATTAGAAAAAGGTACTGAAATTATTTAAGCTTTGATATTCTCAAAATACTCTTCAAAAATTTCTACACAATCTTTTTCTTCACTTGATTATATGGAAGTTTTATATAGAAAACATCACACAGTACATTTTTTCGTTTTTGGTTCAAAGTAAACAAATTTCATCTCTAGATGGGGTTACAGCCAAAAACGTCGCGGAGAAAACAACACAAGGAGAAAACATCGCAGTTCTAAAATATCCTGGAACAAAATATTATGGTCGAAAATAAAGCAGTTCAAAAACTTCGCAATTTAAAAACATCATCGTCAAAAATAGCATGGTAAAAAATAAAGTACCTACAAATCATCGCATACATGCGTTTTTCAAATCACTTTCGTTATAACTAACAAATCGACATCCAAAAAAATTGATTGCACTCTATACATGAAAATGTTAATGACACTTTAAAAAGAATAAACAAAAACAAAACAATATATAATTTTCATTAAAACAATATCAGATTAACAAATGTAAAAGAAAATAATTTGATCATTAACTAAGCAATTGTTATAGAGGTACCTCCTCAGTTATTTAATCTTCCTTTTTTTAAGATTTTTAGACGTATTTTTAATGAAAATTTATCAGTTAAACTTTATAAAAAAAGTTATTTTAATGACCTTTGTTAATTAACTATATAAATTTAAAATTCGATACGCATTTTAAGTTGATTAATTTTCCACTCTTTTCATTTTTAAATGCTTATTTCCTTCTTATTTTTTTCAGCAAAAATTATAGTCTTTCAAATATATGAAATATAGAGAAAAAGAATCCTCTTCTTTCTTGGTTCTATGACTTTATACAACATGCATTATAACTTCAAATCTGAAAACGTAGTGTGGGATGTTATCATCATGCGATGATTTGTAGGTACTTAATTTTTTACCACGATATTTTAGACGATGATGTTTTTAAACTGCGAAGTTTTTGACTGCTTTATTTTCGACCACGATATTTTGTACTACGATGTTTTAGAGCTGCAATGTTTTCTCCCATGATGTTTTGTACCACGACATTTTCTCCTGCGTTGTTTTCTACGCGATGTTTTCGTCCGTGATGTTTTTGCCACGAAGTTTTCAGCGGACACCCTAGACAGGATTTCTGACATAGTATATGCTATTCCTTTTCAAAACTTCTTGATATAAAATGATCCCCATGAATGTATCTGTTCATTACACAGATGATCAGCAGAGATGCTCCTGTTAAAGATAATGGACTTTTCATGAATAGCACTACCTTAGTCCAAGATTATCATGAATCGTATAGGTTAACATGCTTAAAGTCTCGGCTAACCAGAAGTGTGCAATGTGAAGAGGTTAATGGCTGACCTAACTGACAATTATAACAAAGAGAAATTTTACTATACAGAAGTTCCATAAACCAGTTGAAAGTTGCAGCATGAAAAACATTTTTTTGTCTAGAAAAGTAAGCACAGAGTTTTTATAACATTCCAGGCCTTTAAACCCTTTTTAAAATAATACAAAAATTACAGTTTAAAATGTGTTTTTACTGAGATTTCACAAATGTTAATTAAATAACTGCACTTACTACCTTTTTAAAGACATCTCATCCAAAAAATACAGATTACATTGTTTTGCAAAATGGTGACTTCTAAAAAGCTAGATTATGAAGGAAAAAATACTTTTTTTGGGGAAGGACAAGTTTAGTTACATCTACAAACTTTTTGAATATTGCATGTAATTTTTTTTAATTTTAGAATAAGATTAAAAATTTTCCTTAACAGAAGATTTTTATACTCGCATATGCAAGACTTATTACATGTATTTATCATGTATAAGAGCTTAAAAACAATTTATGGTATGTAAACATTAAAACAGAGAAAAACTTATCTGCAACATATTCAGTATTAAAATGTACATAAAGGATTATATATTATACAACATAGATAATACATAAAGGTTTATATTATACATATATACATACAAAATTTTTTTTATATCTTCTGTTTTCGTATCTATGTGTTCATCTCAGAATCTAGACATGAAATTCATACAATCTATACTTAAATCCCTTCACTTTAAAACTATTCTGATTAAAAACCTTTGTTTTAGAATGCAAATAACTAATATTATGATAATTTGTAAAAAATAATACTAAGCAGAGATACTGCATTTCGTATCATACATATTATTCAATGACATCAATCATTTGTGAAAGTCTTCTAAAATTAATTTCAATGCTTTCAGAGCAAAGCTTTTTTATTTATTTATTTAAAAAAATTAGAAAATGAAAGAGTGGAAAAAGGTTGAAATGAGGTATTTCATTCTTATTAGTTACAATGCATATAAGGAGGTTAATTTTAAAATGAATCTAACTGAATGGAATTCAGCTTGATAGGAAAAAGATTGGTTGAAGCACACTGGCTGATAGCAGGGTATGGAGTCAAGTATTATCCTGTTGAAAAATGTCCTCTTGGAATATTGTTAAAGAATGAAAACACAATGGTGCAATCACCAGTATGATGCACAAATTTGCTGTCAAGGTGTGTGGGATGACAAGGAGAATGTTCCAATGCACACTGGTGTGAAAAAATTAAGGACGAAGTCGAAAAATTAGCATATCAGCTGAACGAAGAGGCAGAGCGGACAGAAAGATCATTCAGGAGATTAAGTAAGGTGATGTACGGTAGCACATGCGCAGATATGCGGTAGACGTAATGAGGAAGTGTCTGAGTAGTATAAAATGTTGTAAAGATCAGTTACTGGCAAGAGAGATTGGCACGCCGTATAGCGTTAAAATCACACCAGTTGCTGCTTCAGAGAGAAATGGCGAATAATCAATCTGTTAGACGACATCTGGATGCTTTACCCGGGTCGAATCATTGGAGTTGGAGGAAGGCCGCGTGTGACAAGTGGTGGCTGCAGAGTTCGGAATTGCTCACAGCATCGTTTCACGACTTTGGAGGCATTTTCAAACTACAGGAACAGCTATCCGGGGGTTTAGTAGTGGTCGTCACGGGACCACACCCGCAGATGACCCTATATTTGCCTTACAGGCCAGAAGAAACAGGCGGCAGACAGCGGGAGAAATCGCTAGACACACGACACAGGCGACTGGACGACCGATATCGCGTTTTACCGTGGCCAGAAGACTGCACGGTGGTGGTCTGTTTGCACGACGCCCTGTACTTGTTACTCTAAATGCCTGCCCATCGGAGAAGCGTTCTCTGTGGTGCGGGAACACCGGAATTGGAGAGACAAGAATGGGGACGAGTACTCTTACAGATGAGAGCAGATTCAGTCTGAGTAGCGATCTCATCGCATACTCATCTGGAGAAGTGGGAAGCCCAATCATCCCTCGAACCCCATTGAAAGGACAGGTATGGAGGTGGCGTGTTCTCATTTGGGAGGCATCATGCTTGGTAGTCTACAGACTTCACATCTTCAACGCAGGTTCAGCCAGCAGGAGATGTCTCTCTTCCATATGTGCGTCTTTTTAAGCGCTATGGTTCGCAGTTCCTTTCATGGACGACAATGCCCGTCATCGCACAGAGTGCCGAACAGCTCTCACAGTGAGGATATTGACGTATGGATTGGCGGCACGATCCCGATCTCAACATCGAGCGGTATGGATTTTCTAGGCAGAGATGCTTGGCAGCTCGTACCTTACCCCAGTAACGATTGGAGTTCAATTGGCGCGCAAGACGAATGGGCAGCAATGCCTAAAAACTCATTGACACCCTCATTCTCAGCATGGGCAGACGCTGTGAAACCTGCTAGCAGTCAGGGGAGATCATTCCCCTATTAAAAGACCAGATGTTTCTTGCTGGACAACCCATCACAGGGATGTTTCGGCCTTCAGCCGCATTGCACTCCATGCTACTTTTCAATAGCTTCTTTTATCCCCTGATCTTTTAGTAGTGTTGCTTACATTACTCAGCCTTACGTATTGGGGATCTTACGGTTTAAATGTGTTGATTTGGAAAGCTTTGTCAAGTTATATTGAAAAACGTCTCGTCCTTAATTTTTGCACCCAGTATCTAACATAGACAGACTCAACATACAGCCATCAATGGCACCAAGACAAATGGCTCTCGTCTGAGACACAAAAGATCTCACTCCACTGTAGCTTGACACCACTGAGGTAACAGATAATTTCTGCTGCTGATGCAATGGCTCTAACATGTGGGGAATATGGCAATCTTTCCTTTGAAACTATGTGGGCCTGGATCCCTGAATTCTTGAGACAGTATCTTCCTGAGACCAATGCTGCCAGTGGACACAACTCTGCTAAGTCTTTTTCCAAAAACACAAAAAGGAAACCCTTTTTCACCATAGCTCTATAAAGTGTTGATGCTGCCTTCTTTGTCTCTTTAAGGCAATCTTTACTCAGATCTCACTCACAACACTCAATCCAGAAGATAAATAAAGCCTGCACGTACATACGTATGTATGTATCTTGCATAACTCAAAAACGAGGAGCCTTAGAAAGATGAAATTCTGTATATGGGACTGGTATAACATGTAGATGTGCACCTCCTATTTTGGCTGCAATCGGCTGCACCAAAAGTATATAAATATATGTATATATATCCGCTCTATTACTCGGCTCAGTAAGCTCATTGTCTTTATTCTTATTTTTGTAAATTTGCAGTTTTTGCTTTAAAATGATTGAATTATGTTGTTCTTATCTTACGGTTAAAGTTTTTATGTCTTTAGTTAACCTGCATATTATAGTTGTAGAATTATCAACAATTTAAAACTTGTTTAAATGTGCCCAACTTTTTTTTTTTTTGGCCATAGCAGCCATATTTTTTACATTTGAAACTTAGCAGAATACTGGATTTGTTGCCAATCTAGAGAAACGAAACTTTGCAACAGCAAAGTAATGTCTTCTTTTATTATTGCGAATTAAATTATGCTTAATCTATTGTGGAATTATCATCTAAGTTATTAAATTATCCCATATATTGATTCAGCATAGTGTCCCACAAATTAAGTCAGTTTCCACGCCTTCAGCCTCTTCTCGTCGAGTGACGCCAAAAGTAAAAGTTCAGTTTTGTGCACCGAAAAATCTGCCTTCTTGTGCACTGGCCAAATTGCTTGTCTTTGCATCGAAAATGTAACTTTAATTGCAAAATACTTTTTTAATTGTTTTAACTGTGTTTGGCATTTTATGTTTTTATATATCTTTACATTTTTAATAAAGATATTTTGTGTTTTGATTATTTTTGCCTTGCTGCAAAGTGAGAACTGAATTAATTGAATGAGAAATACATCTCTAATGAAATTTAGGGAAATAAGTGTTTCATATTAGCCAGTCTTTCAACAGTCTGCTTCAGACAGAGCAGAATGCTTACGAGTAGTGCATGTGCATTAGGTAAGCAGCGCGGAATCATCTGTGAAAAACTGTCCATTTTTTATTTACTTAATTCCTTTTATACATCGTTTTCGATTCATTAAACTATTATAATAAATAAACATGAAACCAATAACTAAGGATATTTTTATTTAGTTTTACCTACATATTTTCTGCCCTGCAAATCTCTATGATCTTATTAATGCTTTTTAAGGCAATTTTATGGTAAACATCCCATAAAATTTTAATTTAAAAAAATAGATTAAAAATAGATAAGTAATAAAAATAATGATTCCTACATCATTATGGGAAAAACCTGCACTCTGTCTTTATCACATTTTTTAAAATTTACTACATCTTATGGCAAATACAATGGATGACAGAAGTCAGCTGCTACATGTTGGCTGGAAGCAAGGAAGGAGGAAAGTGCAATGCATTCAAGAAGCCTGGAAGAGAGTCTAAAGATTTGAAATCTTATTCACTGATTGTCTAAAAGGTATGTACAAAGCAGCATTATGTAATATAATTTGATATGGATTAATCTGAAATGATGCAATTTAAATAGATATATTATAAGTTACTATTTTTAGGAGAGAAAGGGAAATACAAATATTAAAATGAAGAATATAAGAGGCTACTGCTAATTAAGATTAGAAGTTTGCTTTACATATTTTTTTTTATTTTACAAGTATATATTATTTAGTTTTTTACCCTATGATGAAAGAAACCAATACATGATTTTAATTGCAAGTCTACAAAAATCTACCAAAATTTTTACCTCCGTATTATTTTTTTCTTTTTGTTGTGACATCTGGCTGAGTCTTTTTTTCAGGAGTTCTAACTGTGCATTACATTTTTTATTTTCTTCACGCAGCTGGTAATTTTGTTCTTCTAACTGTAATAAAATTATGAATTATGCAGTAAGACATAATGTAGAGAGTCACCAAAAATTAAAATCAGAACTTCCTGAATATTCATAAAAGGTGATTAAAATGTTCTAATTATTCAAATTCTTGTAAAAAAATATAATTAATTAATTCGTAAATTTTAATATTATAAAGGGAAGAGGATCTATAAATATAAAACTTAATTTTTTATAATGCCCCACACAGCAAAAATTCCAGTTAGCAAAATATCTTATGATTTAATAAATATGCCAAATTCTGTAACTTTATGCACAAAATTTGCAGAAATATATGCAACTAATATATTATGAAGTCAATTCAGATTCAATAATGTGTATTGCTTTATCCATCACAGAACCATCAATCAACCAAACAAGCAACTTTAATTTGCATGATAAAAAATTCATTTTTAAATATCTCAATGAATCTTGCACATACAAGTACAAAACATTTTACTGTGTTTATTCCACTTATCAATTGTAGATCTATTGTTGGAAGTGTGGAGGAAAACTTGATTCTCATTTCTAAGGAGAAAAAAACATCCTAAAGATTTCTCCTCCCATGTAAAGAAAGACAATCTTTCTTTATTATTTATTAAAACATTCTAAACATTTTTGTTTTGAGCTTTTCAGTTGTTTATGTGTCACATAGTACTTAAAAAATGAGACGCTGCTGCAAGATCTTACCAAAGCATAAAATAAGCATTCATCTCAGAAAAATTGACAAACTTCTCTCCCCCCCCAACAAATGGACTGAGTTTTTTGCCTATGTGCAGAAGCACTTTGGAGGACTCACTTAATGTGGGCATACAGTACTTATAATACCAATAAGGATTAAATTAACTGGAATTTTTACTCTACAGGCATCATATGTAAAGGAAGATTTACAAAGCCTTTCTATGCACACTGGCAAAAAATTTATCTACCTTATTTCTTATTTTGAGAAATTTTGTAACTAGAGATATATATAAAGGATCAATATTTAAGGAAATAAAGCAAAAAACACTTTTTTCAAACACCTTATGCACATATAGTTACTATAAATAATTATCACACATATATAGTTATTATATATGTTTAACATACACTATACACATTTTAATGAGAGTTATCTTACATATCAAGTTGGGTGAAAAAAGTTCTACTCTTATGTGAAATATCATATGATGGATTTCTTCTTACATTACATAAGTTATTTAATACCAAAAATAATTAAAAATCTATTAAATTGGGAGAATTGCTAAAAATCACCTTTAATATATCTATGCTTTTCTTTATGAAAAAGGAAACTTTAACTACTTGCATAAAATTGATGGGAGTAAAACAGAACATTAAAAATATTACTAATATTTTTATTATACGAGCAAAACTTAACACTACAATGGCGGGAAAATGTTACCTATTGGAACGGCGGTAAGGGGTTATTTTAACGCTTCGATGAAAGTACTGAAATAACAACGGTAAAACAATTTTAAATGCCCTACATGGCACAAATATGTTCTTTATATGTATTTCATAATTTATATTTAATATCACATGATAATTTATTGACTTTTTAAAATACTGTAAATGTATCGAGTACATGGCAATCAATTGGATCATACTACAGTTACTTAAATAACTCATTAATTTGATAAAAGGATTGACTTCAAATAAATGGTTTCCCAAATTAAAACTAATGTTAACTAAAATAAAACACAATTTATATAATAATTTTTTTTATGTATTTATTCAGAGGATGATTCACTCTCTAAATCCAGAAATGAGAAATGTTCTCTGATGTTTCAGTTATATCATTATATGTATAGCTGAATGGAATATGTAAAGCATTTCGTTTCAATTCTATTTAATGTTTAAAATATTAGAGATTACACATACGTATTAAGAATTAACGCAGTTGATACAAAAATAATTTTTAACAATATTTCCAGTGCATTCTCCACACACAACTTTGGAACAAGATGCACAATATTCTTGAGATTTGTTTCCATTGCATCTCTGCACTTGACACTTCTTTTCGCTTTATATCCATTTTCTTTTCATGTGTTTTTTCTGAAGACCCAGGAAGGATTTTTGGAGGATTTGAAGCCATATATACCACTCTTAACTTCTCTCCTAATTTCAGTAGAAAATCTCTCCCATTAATGGTGTTTCCTGTTACGCTTTTATAAATTATCCAGGCGTTCAAAGCTGCATTATCCAAAATATTTAAAATGTTATGTACAGGCCATTATCTAGAAGGCAATTTAACTGAATATTTTTGACACATTTGATCACGAATATCCACACCATACTTTGTTGCGTTGTAAAATGTTATTCAATCGGTCAACTTCTTGAGCCTGTTTTCAGTTCTTACAGTAGAATGTAATGAGCTCGGTAGAAAAACGCTTTTGTTTCTTTTGCCTTGATAGATGGTAAGTGTGATATTATCCTGTTTCACTATTGTCGATGAATAAAGATTACTACGCATATTTTTCAAAGATTTAGAATTTTTCTCTCTGTTTCTTTTTCATTGCCCCGACCATAGTTGTATTTTTCGATTTTAGCATTTCTGCTAATTTAATGCTATTAAAATAGTTATCCGTGGTATTCCTCTGTTTAGATGTGGCTCCGTTAATTTTATAACAACATTTTCAGACAAACATAATTGAGGATTTGTGTTTCATCTTTTCCTAGATAAGGAAATCCATTCAAGAGGTATTTAAGTATCAATGTCTACAGATAACCGAAATTTTATTCCAACATTTGTCAGGTTTATTAGGCATATCTTGTGTAAATCTACGTCTAGCTTTAGATGGGAATAATTGTTCATCAACTGTAATATTTTGTCCTGGCCAGTAGCTTGTTTTGCAGGTTTTCAATAAATTTTTTCCACATGTCTGATGCAAGAGCAAATTTATTAGCCTGTAATCGAGTAGATTTTGTTGTCTTTTCATTCGAACCTTAAAAATTGTTTTATTTCTTTGAATCTATCTCTTGATATAATTTCTTTGCAAAATGGTATTCCCCATGCTTCAGACCACAAAGGAATATGTAAATCTAAGCCGTTTGCTCCTCGATTACTCCTCGAACATACATATTGCAACAAAAGGCATTTCTAACTCAGCCAGAGATAACTTCCAGTCTTTATTTCCAATTTGCCGATGAGCTTCGGATTCTGTACGTATATGTTCTCTATATGCAGCAAGATATCATCATCAATAAAAAGCTTGAAAGCACTAGACACTTGTCCTCAAACACGACTCTTTGCAAAAAAGATGTTAGTCCTGCTATTTCTTTTCAGAACATTATAAGCAGAAACATGGCCGCAGGACTGTATTTTTTTGAATTTATTTCATTCCGTATAGTGTTATCAGGAGCTGTCAAAACAGTTTTGCAAATATCCCGATCCGTCTTTACCTGTTTATTTCTGCTAAGTTCTTCTTTGTTTACTTCGCTGTCCTTGGATTCACTAATAGTTTGTGTCTGGAATTCATCTTCAGTTTCTACAAAAAAATTATCGATTTCACCTCCGTCAGACTCATTTTCAGATAGCTCCTGCAACAATTTTTAATTTCTTCATCCGTAATACTTCTTTTCCGCTTATTAGACATATTTTCTAAAAGTTGAAAAAAGTAGAAAAATATCAGACTATCAGAAAAAGATAGGGAATATATTTTAGCAGTGTAAAGGAAAGGTGATAATGAACTTGATGGCAGAATTCATATGTACTGAAATACTGATTTGGGGTTACCAAGAAAACATCTGTTCGAACTGTTATCACCTGCAGTAAGTAAGCTGAACTTAACAAACGAGAAAATACATCTGTAAAATAAACTATTTCTGAAAAGAAATGTAAGCATACAAAACCTTGCATCTACCTTCCTTGCAGTATTTTCTTCAAACAAATAGATAATTGCAAACAAAGGAACAACAACTTATGTAGACATTACAAGGTAGTAGTGAGACCCCCCAGATTTTTATTCCACTGGGAGATAGTATGAATGCAATTGAAAAGTCCTTATCAAAGAATGTTTTTCATGGGTTATTTGGCAATGCCTCGAGCAGAAAGAGCGATAAAAGTTAAGGGGTCAAAATGACCCTCATTGACCTCGCAAAAGCTGATAGCTGTATTCAAGGACAGCACTCAATCAATCCTTAGATCTTACTCAATTCGTATAGACTGTCAGAAAAAAATATCTCGATGTTACAGCTATTTACTGTGTTATACAGTCAAAAGTCGTTAATTCGTACTCGTTGGGACTTCGGCAATTCCGGATTATCAATTTTTCTGGATTATAGATCATCAGTTTAAATCTGGTACGATAACATGCAGAAATTATAAAATTAAAAATATGAAACCGTAATTTATGAAATAAAGAACAATTATGATCTAAAGGGTATCAAAATTTACAAAAAAAAAAAAAAACAAAAAAAAAGCTTAATATTTATTTGTTTACTTTAGTAAACATTTCTTTCAATGTAAGTTGTTTAAGTTGCTTCGTTTTTTGTGCTAATACTTTCTCTTTAATTCTATAAACAGACATAATTTCTTGTTCGGTTACAAAGTTCCACTGTTCAAGTCAAATTTTTGTGTCGAGAATACCGACTAACTTGTCACTGGGAATTTTTTCGTTCTCAGTAACCTATCTGTCACTTTCTTCACTATCGGTAGCGGTATTTTCTGGATTTAGAACCATACAACAGATTTCGCCGCCCTTTAATTGATTGATGATTGGGGCAGTGTCATCGCAATGAAAAACTTCTTTTATATCATCCTCATTTATTACCGCTTTTCCACATTTCTTTACAAAATCCATTAACTGAAAAATTTCACCTTTAGTTTGCGATATCCGAAAACCTTCAAATTCGCGGCTATCATCTTCATCGTCCGCGAACGGGCTGGCTGCATGGGTGTTTTCGTGGTTTTCCCCATGTGTAACGTGTATACGAGCCAGTTTCCCTTAAAAAGTCCTCCACGAAGGCATCCCTCCCTTAAGGCAGATAGCCCGCGAGTGCTTTGCCGTAATTTAATAAACCAAACCAACCACTTCATCGTCTCACCATGAAATATGTAGCTGACCATAATATCCACATTTTTTAACGTATCTGGAGACCAGTTCCACGATCTTGCGATGCCCCATAAAGCAGATATTAAAAGGCTAAGTATTCAAAAATTCTTGATAATTGCCCTTGTTCAAGAAATTAACATGGATTTTAAAAAGGCTCCTTTTTATTTTATTTTCAGCACGCACTATCCGATATCCATAGGCTGAATGACGGACGTACATTTGGGAGAAGAATAATACGGATACATTATCTTTACTAAAACATTAAGTGAATTATACCGAACAGTTGTCTACAATCAGGACTTTTTTGGTCATAATCAAATTTCCGATCCTTGGGTATAAAGATGATTTCAAACCAATCATCAATTAACCTTGTGTCATCGATCTTTTTTATTTGCCGAGATATACGGGAAAACCGTTACTTCCTTTAATACTCGAGTCATGCATGTTTTCGTTAAACGAAAGTTTGCATTATAAAAAAACTCCTCATCCCTTAATTTGCCGCTCGGTCTTCCAAAATTTTGTCTTCCAAATTCTGCCGTCGGTGCCAACAGATTCTGCCGCCGCTCTGGGTTTATGGTAAATAAACATATCAGGATCTTAATTAAATAGCACTAAATGTATCTTTTTGGCTATGAGTTTTTAACAAATCTATTTTAGCATATGAAAAGAATTTTTATTGATTTTCCCTCGTCAACTTTCTTTATGAAATTATGAAATAAAGAACAATTATGATCTAAAGGGTATCAAAATTACAAAAAAACAAAAAAAAAAAAAAAGAAAAAGCTTAATATTTATTTGTTTAATTAGTAACATTTCTTTCAATGTAAGTTGTTTAAGTTTACTTCGTTTTATGTGATAATACTTTCTCTTTAATTCTATAAACAGACATAATTTCTTGTTCAGTTACAAGTTCCACTGTTCAAGTCCTATAATTGCTGTGTCGCGAATACCGATTAATTGTCAACGAATTTTTTTTTTGTTTTCAATAACCTCTTGTCACTTTCTTCACTATCGAAAGCAATTATAATGAGAGGAATTTGATTTACATCATATCAAAGACGGAGTAATGGAGAGAAATACTACATTTAGTAAGGAATTATAAGCCAAATAAATTAAAAACATCTGCCCTGAAGATAAGGATAGTGCTGACAGATCAACTTCCAATTCATTGCGCGCCGCAGCTTTAAGTGAAAAGTTATTTCTTCCTTAGGATAAGTCATAATCTTCTCCCTAAAAATAAAATAAAATCATCCATACAGTAATAGTTTTAATGAAATCTTATACAAATTTTCTTGTGATGATAATGGGAAAGAGCAGCAGCCAAAAAATATTTTCAGGATGAATGTTAGTTTTTGATAATGATTAGAAATACTGCATATGATTCTTTTAGAAGTATTTTTGGAAGTGCAAATCATATCTTTAGTCATGTTTCTTAATAAAATTTATTAGCATTAAACAATTTCTTGCGGTGGGAAGAATGAAAAGATATATTAAATAAGATACTATGCTACCACCCCAAAAAAGTGACCCCCCATGCATTTATGTTCTAAAATTAAATTTTAATCAGAATAGTTAATTGACTGCTTCCAACAAACATCTCTATGGCTCATTTAATAACATTTTTTAAAAATGATAAAAATTTGTATGAAACAAGATCTCCATGCTAGTTATGTGTCTTAACTATACAATTACATAAAGATCATACCTCTTTTAATTTGTTAGTCACCCATTCTTTTATCTTTGATGCTTTTGCTTCCACTTTCTTTGCATCCAAAATTCGTAGTTTTTTCTACCAAAAATAAAAATAAAAAATTACCTATAAATATGAAATCCATTAAAACAAACACTATGTTTTTTTAGTGATTTTTTTTTCCCTTTTACTTAGAAATAAGTTTTTTTTTGGGGGGGGGGACTCAACAGAAAGTTTTAAATTCTTTTAAAATTTAAGGTCTAAAACAACATTACATTAGTAGCAAAAATGCAACTCAAGTGCTTCTGTCAGCATTTATTCATGAAACAGGAGGGGGGAAAAATTTATCTGTAAGATGTTTAAAACTTCAAATCTGATACACTTAAAAATTATTTCAACAGAAAAATATTACAGATCTATACATTAATATTATTATTAAAATTTTGAAGTTTACACTCTGTACTTTTTCAATGGCAAGTTAGATGATATAGCTAAATTTGTAACACTTAAAAAATGTAATTATATTATCTCCTAGTAACTCTGAACAGTTCTTAACATTATTTTTCAATATCATTATGCAATTACATGGTTTAAAATATAGCATAGTCAAGTCAAGATCAAGTATTATTCTTATGGCTCTTCTTTTTTTGGGGAAGAGGGACTAAATGTAACATTTTCTGAAGATAATGTTTAAATTTGAAATTAATTCCCATTTGAACTAATGTTTAACTTATTAACGATAATGTCTAAAATATAATGTTTATTAGGTGCTACATTACCTCTTCAACCTTACCGTTCTTTCCTCATATATATATATATAGAGAGAGAGAGAGAGAGTATACATATTCATTTTGAAGTCCTTTATGTAGAATTTAGGCAAAAATCATCAAGACAAAATTATGAACTTCTCCAGTAAGTACTTTATGGAAATTTCAATATACGAGACGTATTCGGAAACTAAGACATCAAGTTTCAAACCCCAAACACGTCCAATAAAGATAAAAAAGCCATGTTTATACGAGGTGTTATTTATACGAGGCATATTCAGAAACTAAGTACCATTTTGAAAAAAAAATAGTAAACCTTTTTTTTCGAATCCAATTTTATTTTTTACATGAAAACATGTCTTAAACTATTTTTCAACTAGTTTCCGCAATGATCAAACACTTGTCATGGCGGGTGGCCAGTTTTTGTAACCATCTCAAAGAAACTTCCGCCAGTTTCGATAACCACTACTCCACAGCATTTTTCGTGTCATCGTCAGATCCAAAGTGCTTGCCACCAAGCTCGTGCTTCATGTGCAGGAACAAGTGATAGTCGGATAGCGCCAAGTCTGGGCTGTATGGCGGGTGATTCGGATGCCCATGAAACTCTCGAAATTACGATTGAGTGACACCAGCAGTATGGGGCCGATCATTGTCATGGAGCAACACAATTCCTTTACTGAGCATTCCTCTTCGTTTGTTTGTTTGTTTTGAATGGCACGCCTTAGTTTTGTTAAAGCCTCACAATATGCCGCATTAATGGTTTCACCTCTGGGAAGAAATTCAGTAAGCAAAAACCTTTCCTATCCCAAAGACAGTGCACATGATTTTTGGATGACATTGGTCACTTTGAACTTTTGTTTTTTGGAGAATGAGTGTGTCTCCACCCATCGATTGTTGTTCGATTCTGGTGTGAAATGACACACCCAATTTCATCACCTCACAATTGGTTAAAAAGTTTCTCCTCATACTGTACCGCGTGAGAAATGTCAGGCCCTACCAAGTCCTTTTGTTTGTGAACATCAGTGAGCATTTGGAACGCATCGGAAACACAGTTGCGATAATCAAGCGGTCAGACCAAATTTCGACAAAACAGTACGTGAAACTTGTGGAAATGCCTCTGAAAGAGTTGTCTTGTGAAGCGTCTGTTCTCATGAATTGCTTCATCAACTTTCCTTACCAAATCATCGTGACAACAGAAGGCCGAAACTCCGAGCCTCGGCGTGGACATTGTTCAACCTGCATTAACATTCTTACCCACTTCTCACCATTCCATCACTTTCGCATATTCACCATAACTTCTGTCACTTGACGATAATTTTGCCCGGTTTTTACATTCCTCGCGTTCAAAATCAAAAATTAATCACGGCACGAATCTCACACAGGTTGCCACTCAAAAGAGGAGAATGAAATTCCCTGACTTTTCCAGTTTTTCCAGGTATGTTTCGAGAAAATTCCACGTAATGTACATTGCTGTGCTAAGAGTAAATTATTATGGTATTACTTGTACTGTGTAGCAAATTCACTAGTTATTCAATAAATCCCAGAGACATTTATTCTTAATTATTCTTGGTACACTTTGTTGATAATTTTGTTTATTTTCCGCTTAAAAAACTTAATAAATTTAAGATATATAGATTGGATAACAACTTACATTTTATTTAATTATTACTCATGATCATCCCATTAAACACAAGGCTAATCCGGTTCTTATAAATCACAACGCAATGCTAAAAGTTAGGTTAGATTTAGGTAAATTTAATTTGTGTGAGGTGTATTCTTAAAGGCACCTTAACACTTGAAAACACAAATATAATTATAATAAGAGTTTTTTGGTCCACTGAAGATTGAAATTAGAATCTGCCCAATCTGGAATAAATAAGGCTTTTTTTTTTGCACATTCTGCAGCTAAACGAAAGAAAGAAATCTATTTAATGATATTTTTTTTACTAAATTGAGGTATTTTATATTTATTTCACAGCATATAAGGAAAAAATATGTGCATTAAATTTCGTGATGTCATCATACTGCTAGAATTAATTTCAGGATTATGCCAGAGAAAATTTCCTGAAATTTGGAATATTATTTACTAATGATAAATCAATTTAGGGAAGAAACAACATTAATGATATTAATAACATAAAAATAAAGATAATTACTTAAATTTAATTAGATAATCAACGATATTTTAGCGAATATAGTTATATATGGTTATCCTAGATGATTGATTACTATTTTTTTATTTTACTTGCAAAATGGACAAGGTATGTATTAAGAAAAGAAAAAAAAAAAAAAAAAAGATTTTGCGGTAAATCCTAGTATACATACGGCCTTCGCATGATTTTTGAAAATTGTTGCCAAGAGCAAAATGACCCGTTTACCGCTCATCATCATGTCGCCAAATCCCGCTGTACCATACATGGAGATTATTCTAACCAAAGAACGCCTATGTAAAAAGTGGAGGGAAAATTTGCCAAGGGATTTGATGGCAGAACGGCCAGAATTTCCCTCTCCGCGATGTGTACAGGATATTGAGAAACACGTGTTCAGAAGAAACAAAAGTTTTTGACAAAAAAGAAACCTACGAAAATCCGTTTTTAAATTATTGCAAAAAATCCAAGAAGAAACATTTTATCAAAGAACGTTTTTTTCTTGGCTTTTTCACAATAATTTTAAAAACGGATTTTCGTAGATTTTTTCCCCCCCGTCAAAATAACTAACCCATGAATTAATTTACTTGCGCCAAAAATATTTCTTTTCCTTAGAGTTTAAAGACATTTTAAACGATATTCATTTTATGAACTCTTGATAACGTGAACTTCGACACCGGTTTCGAGCTTTGGCGACAGATCACGCATGCACAGCTGTTTCCCATGATGGAACCGAGCCACGTCTGTTGCAGGGAGGTTTTCCTTCTTTACAATACATATTTTTTAATTCTAACCTTCGTGGTACCGTATACTAGGATTAAACCCATTTTGTTTTATACAAGAACAGGTACTTTGTTTAGTTCATGCACTGCACATGCGATTCTCGAGGTTACTGGAAACCAAAAGTTGCGGAAAACTTGCTTTGCCTTTCTAAAAAGACAATCAAATTGGAGCTGCAAAAATTGACTCTATGCCAGCTGCCCGGCTGACACTCACGTGATACACAATTCGCCAAAAAAGTGATCTCTTCCGACATCGGTGCAAAACTCGCCTTTTTTGGCGGGATCATTGTATGAAATCCCTGACTTTCCAGATTTTGACAAAAATACTTAAATTCCCTGACTTTCCCTGAATTTTTTGGTCAATTTTCGAATTTCCTGACTTTTTCCGGTTCTCCCGGTTTTCCAGGTAGCGTTGCAACCCTGCTCACAGTCAGCGGGAGAACTAATTGTCTTAAACATTTTGAATGTGCACAGCAAACTGAAAACACACCATAGAGCAACCAAAATGGCGACAATTGAAAGTCAGTGAACAAGAAAGACTAAAGCGCTACCACAGCGCTGCGACAGCACTAGAATGAAACGGTACTTAGTTTCCGAATACGCTATGTATTGTTGTTAATATTTACATCTCTTTTTACTGTATTTTTGTCTTCCTTTATTGCAGTAGTGTTGTGTATTGCTTTTCTTACTTACTTATTTATTTGTTGCTTTTGGAATGAGACTTTTAGGATTTGTTTTGTGTTTAATTTAATTTTGTCGACATATCTTTTGTAGTTAAGTGTTCTTTTGTTATGTAGAATTGTACATATTTCAATTGAGTACAACAACATTTGAACTGTAGAAATAAGTGAAATGCAATATGAGGTATGGGAAATTTCTTTGCTACCAGCCTTAAGGGAAATCTATTTTGTTCAAGTTTGTGATATTTGGCAATTTCTTCCTAACCAGGATGACTTTCTAGAAAATTCACAAAAACACGTTTTCAAAGCTCTATGCTCAATTCTTGCAGAAGCTTCCAAAACTTATGCTACAGTATATGAATAGGGTCAGACAGCTAAGAAATTCAATTCTTAATCAGTTCTGAGATTTAGCAGTTAGCTGAATTGTAATTTACCCCGAGAGTGATTTTAGGAAATCTTAGGATTTTAGAAACAATATTTTATTATTAAGGAGGAAAAGCTTAGTATCCATTGTGTCATTGAATTTTTTTTATAATAAAATGTTCATTTATTTCTGTTTACATAGTCTTATTACAAGGTAACCAAAAAAGTTCTTGCCATTTTTGACAGTCAGAAAGAAAAAATGCATAAAACAAATAATAATCACCAATATTCCTCAAAGTAATCACCATCGGAATCCAGTGTCTTTTGCCAACAAGTAGCTAGCTGTGCGATGCCATCGTG